TCTATGGAAAACAGTGTGGAGAAATCGTAAAAAACTAAAAATGAACCTACCATATGACCCAGTTATACCACTCCTTGGCATATACCCAAAGGACTCATCCTATTGTAGAGACACATGTACAACCATGTTTGTTGCTGCTCTTTTCACAATAGCAAAGAGATGGAAGCAACCTAAGTGTCCCTCAACTGACGAGTGGTTAACAAAAATGTGGTATATTTACACAATGGAGTTCTATTCAGCAGCAAAGAAAGATGAAATAATGAAATTTGCAGGTGAATGGATAGATCTAGAAACTGTTATACTAAGTGAAGTAACACAGACTCAGAACAAATAACAATGTATGTTCTCCCTCATATGTGGCTCCTAGCACCAAATTCTTTTAAATTCCAGGTCCTTTTAATAATATGAAGCTATACAGCAGTCTCTTCTGCATGAAATAACTACCATCATCATGACTTTGGCTAAGCCTGATTGCTAAACATAGTCACAACTGGGCTTGTTGACAGTGTGCTCATTCATTAAAGGAGTGCCAAGCAGGGTCACTGGACCCTCACCTGAGTATCTAGCCACTCTTCCCAGCTGTGATGGTTTGAATGAAAATGTCCCCCATAGGCTCCAAGTATTTGGACATTCTGTCCCCACATGGTGGCGCTCTTTTGGGAGGTCTTAGAAGGTGTGGCCACGTCACTGGGGGTGGGCTTGGAGAATTCTTTAGCCTTGCCAGATTTCCAGTCTCTGTCTTGCGTCCTGTGCCTGTGTGATGAGGTGAGAGCTTCACTTCTGCTGCTCCTGCTCCAGCCACCTCTGCCACCATGCCTCCCTGCCATGACAGACTATAATTTCCCTGGAACCATAAGTGCAAATAAATTCTTCCTGCTATAAATTGCTTGGGTCAGTGTTTCTATCACAGTAACAGAAAAGTGACTAATACACCAACCAACTAGTCCAGCCTTGGAAGACAAAAGAAAAATCGGGAAGAACCCAATAGAGGGATGCTTTTGGAAGTTCTTATCAAGAAACTCCAACGGACTCTCATATGAACATTTGAAAATAGCCCTGTTCTTTTTTTAGTACCTTGTCTAGAACTTGTAATGCTAATTACCTTGCCTTTACTTCTCCTATTCATGATTCAGGTACTTTCTTTCTCCTTAGAGACAAGAGTTATGCAATTTGGGAGTCTTTTAGATAGACCCACTGAAGGGGCACTCCAATTGCCTCACCCTACATCCCTGTTCAGCATGAAAGAAGCCAGAGTGGTTGGCGTCCCTATTCCCTGTTGGCAATTTGGGTAACCCCTTCAGAGGATGGTGTGATAAGAATAGGAGGTAGGGATTGGCTAGGCAGTTAGGGCAAAAAGAACCCAAAGAAATGTAGCCAGTTTCTTGGCTAAAAGTCAAAATGTCCTTGGGCCTCTTAACAACACACTCTGTTCCAAATGCCAAAAATGTCAAAAGTATTTGCGATCTTGTATCTAATCCTTAAAAGATTTTAGGGTTACTTCTTCAGAGAGGGGAATGTTGGAGTGGAGGGAGTGGGTATGGATTCATAGATTTGATCAAAACACCTTATATACATGTTTGAAATTCTCAATGAAGTTTTTGTAAAAGTTAAACTATTTTTTAAAATGAATAATTTATTGAGAATTTCCTGGGCTTTGATCAAATCCATGCCCAGATCCTCCCCTCCAACTCCTCCCATATCTCCCCATCACTTTTTTCTAATAACTTCATGTACTCTTTCTTCTTCTTTGATTTATTTATTTTTATGGGTCTTTTGGCTACTCTAACATTTCCCCCTCTGAAGAGGTAACCCTAAAATCTTTTAAGGATTAGATACAAGCTCCCGAATACTTTCAACTTTTTTGGTCTTTGGAACAGAGTATGTTGTTAAGAGGCCCAAGGACATTTTGACTTTTAGCCAAGAAACTGGCTACTTTTTCGAGAGTCTTTTTGCCCTAACTTCCTAGCCAATTTCTACCTCCTATTGTTATCACACCGTCCTCTGAAGACGTTATCCAAATTGCCAATAGGGAATAGGGACAGAGGCTGCTATGGCTTCTTCCATGCTGAACAGGGACTCAGGGTGAGTCAATTGGAGTACCCCTTCAGCAGATCTATCTATAAGCCTTCCAAATTGCATAACTCTTATCTCCAAGGGGAAAAGAAAGTCCTTGACTGGTGAATAGGAGATGGAAGGAGAAGTAAAGGCAAGAGTAATTAGCATTACAAGTTCTAGACAGGAAACTAGAAAAAAGTCAATTGCCAAATTGAACAGGTCAGTTGTCAAATGTTCATATGAGAGTCCATTGGAATTTCTTGACAAGGGCATCCAAAAGCATCTCTCTATTGGGTTCCTCCTCATTTTTCTTTTGTCTTCCAAAGCTGGACTCTAGAGTGATTGATTCAGGATTTGCTTTCAGGTATTTTGATAACTCTTGGAGTGTTTAGAATCAGTGTCAGTTCCCTCTCAAAGGTTTCTAGATGGGGTAGAAAACAAATTTATCCATCATTTTAGAACAGTAGCTGGTTGTCTCCCTTAGCTGCAGGTGGGCACTACAGTATTGGAGACCAAGATTTGAAGTCTTACATCTGAGCAGAACTTTCTGGTCAGGAACAAAATCAGCAGTGAGAAATAATTGTCTAAATAATGTTTTATATAGGCTTAAGCCTAATGTCTGGGAAGTGTAATCCCTTGAACTCTTAAAGAAATATACTGACTTCTTTACCCTTTGGTTATTCTTCCCTTTTGGGTGTTTAGGACCATACAGTTGGCCCAAATAAATCAACTTATTTTTACACTTAGGGTCATTTGAGGATCCGATCCTCAGGGGTCACATCGGCTTTGGTGGAGCTCCTGGCTCCTTTCTTTTACCAGTTCCATCTATGCGAAGATAAGTCAAAGGTCTTGCTCGACCATGTCTGGCTTCACTTGGAAGCATGAATGAGATGTTTCCTCTGAGTTGACCCTCCTCTTCGGAGACTGGACGCTGGTTCAAGTCCATCTCATGGGGTTTCCATGTCCTCCCTGAACAAGAGGACAGGTGACTCACCACAGTTACAGGACATTTTAAGAGATGATCCATAGTCTCCTGGAACTTAGTCGACTTTGGAGGGCAAGGGGCAAAAACTGTCCTTTAAGTCCCTCTGACCACATTAGTATAGCCCTCAAACTATGGCTGTTAGATATCCAATAAGGTTAGTTCCACCAGTATGGTACTTTTAATTATCGTGTACTGTGTAGATAAGGCTTGGGTAAAAACCCAAATATTCCCAAATAAACCTTGACTAGATATATATTTTGTTCTTTAAACTAGTTGACTAAACTATGACCATAGAAATTTTAAGGTTATATTATTTTTGTCTCATTCTTTATATATCATAACAAACCTAAATAGATCTTTATCACTTGCTTAGGCTTTTCATTTTTTCTATTTTGGAAAATATCTCCATTCCCATATCCTTTTAACATCTTTTACATTCTCATTTTCTTTTTAAAAAAATTATGAGACATAATAGTATTAAGAAATAAAATTTCCATCTGTTGTGAGACTTCTTTTCCTGGGGATACTAAGCAATGCTTATTCCCTTTTAAGGTTCTAGTGTCAAGCCAATGTTGAATTAAAGTTTACTGAGGAACAAATGAATTTATCGAACTTAATTACTGAGATAACTGAGGGGTTGCTGAGGTTTTTAATATGATATTATTCATTATTTTCTGGCATCTAGCATTGCATGAGAAAATAATCTGATTGCTTTGTTTGGAAACTTGTACAATTTTTCGCCCTGTCCATGAAGTTTAAAAACTAGGATATGTCTAGGTGTTACCTTATTTTTCAATTTTTGAAATTATTTTTGTGTATGAGTGTATTGCCTGCATGAATGTTAAGTGCACTGGAGTCATACAATGCCCCTGGAGGTCAGAAAAGGGCTTTGCATCTCCTGAACTGGGGTTACCTATGGCTAACAGCTCCATGTGGGTGCTGAACCCCAGTCCTCTGCAAGAGTGGCTAGAGCTCTTAACCACTGAGCTGTCTCTCGAGCCCAAGGTGTTGCTTTCTTGTCACTGAATTTATTTAAAGTTTTTTTGAGACAGGGTCTCACTATGTAGCGGGTTGCCTGGAATCCAGTACGTAGACCAGGCTGGCCTTGAATTCACAGTGCTCCTCCTGAAAAGAGGGCTTAAAAGCATGTGTCACCACACTGGGTGGCTCTTTTCAGCTAACTTTTCCCCAGCTTTTTCCATCTGTCCGCCCAGTTCAGAGCTCATCTATGAAATAAAGTCAGTCTATTGTTTCAGCCTCATTTGCTTTGTTCTCAGGTATTCCTATCACACATATTTTTATCTTACTAGATCATCTACTCTGGGTCTCTTTCTCCTCTTTTGGAATATTTTCCGTTTCATTCCGTGAGAATTCCCCATTCTCCATTTGCTTCAGTAAACTGAGTTTGTGGCAAATTTGGTTTAAACCTGTTACTCTTTGAAACCTTCCAGACACTCTGGCAAACTCATCATTGAATTAAGGTATTATTAAACCAAGCCCCTGAATTTTACGACGTTTACTCCTTTATATAGCCTTCTTTTCTTTCCTATAGACGTTTCAAAAGGAGTCGTTTCTTTGATTACTTAGCTGCGTTATTGCCACCTTGGAAACAGCTTAATACTTTACCGTATGCTAATGTGTCCCCACGTCCCCTACTACGCATTTTTAAAAAGTTAAAAAAAAAAAAATTAAACCTAGCAAGCAAAGGAGTCCAAACACTAAGAGATGTTTCAAAGCACACACACAAAAAAATCGAAAACCACGCAAAATGACTTTCGTTACGTCATCGCTGTGCGTCTGCCTTCAGAGCCAATCGCCTGACGCCGTAGCTTTGCGCTGAAGCCGGCTCAGCAGCGTGCATGCGTCCCAGGCTTGGCTCGGCCCTCTAGGTTTCAGTGGCTAGGCCTGGATCTGGAGCCGCCCTGAGGCGGGGCTGGGCCTTCGCTGCGGCCAATGGCACACGGGATGAGGACTGCGGGGTGGGAGGTGCTGGCCTCCGGGTGGTGCCCGGCTCCTCCACAGTGTACACCAGGCCACCTGGTCGTCCCCGGCCTCCTGGTGGTCATGGAGGAGGTGTTGGCGGAGGAGCTTGATGATGAGGAGCAGCTGGTGAGAAGGCATCGCAAGGAGAAGAAGGAGCTGCAAGGTGACGCGCGAGGGCTGGGAATTAATGGTCCACACCCGGGCCGGGAGGGTGGCGGCTGTGTTCTCGCGAGCCTGCACGGCGACTGACTCGGTCCGTGCAGACTTGCGGGTCACCCTTGTGGTCTCATCGGCCCCAGAGCCCCTAGTGCCGGTGCCGCCCGCGTGCGATTCTCCAAGAGTGCCTGGAACCGGGGTCTTGACCCCCTTCTTACCCAGGTTTCCGAAGCCGGCCGCGGTGCTCCGGTCGGAAGTGCCTCACCGTAGTATCTGGTGGATACTTGAAAGGTGGAAAGATGACTTCACCCCCTATTGTCCTATCAAACCGAACAAACTCACCGTTATGTTTACGAGCTTGCTTGGTCCCAAGCTTCATCCGGGCCTTTTTCTGTAGCTGATTGTTGTGTGATGAGTAATTGCTTCTATAATCACATTTCTGTCTTCCCAGCCTCTTAATGCTTTTTGTCCTTCCTTCCTGGGGCTCTGACATGATGATTTTGGTGACTTTTTAGCCAAAATTCAGGGAATGAAGAATGCTGTCCCCAAGAATGACAAAAAGAGGAGGAAGCAACTCACTGAAGAGGTTGCTAAGTTAGAAAAGGAAATGGAGCAGAAACACAGAGAAGAGCTGGAGCATTTGAAGTTGGCTTCCAAGGAAAATAAGGTATGGGGGGGTACTTGTTCTTGCTTACAGTCATTGGGAGCAGCTGACTACTGTGGCGAAACTGTTTTATTGTATACATTCATAAAATTGTTAGTGAGGTCCTTCAGTCGTGCACATCACAGTTTATCATTATTATTATTATTTGAGACAGGATGTCCTATAGTCCAAGCTACCCTTAATCTTGCTATGTAGCCAAGGATAACCTTGACCTTCGTATCTTCCTGTGTCTCCCCAAGTGCTGAGATCATAAGCATGGGCCACCACACCTAGGTATAATATTTCATTAATGTTGTGACAGGGGAAATCAGTAAGAATGTCCACTTCTTTTCCTACTTTACTTGCCAAAGAGATGAACAGATGAACGTGTACTAAACTTCCTGTCAAGAATTACCAGTGAATAAGATTATAACTTCTGCAGTTACTTAATTTTCCAGAGAATAAGTTTCTCCACATATGATACGATGACCCAGTGGGACAACAAATGTGCAATCATATTTGTTATAAAATGCTTTATGAACAGTTGTAATGAAGTTTTACATGCTTCTTGTGTAAATAGGAGCATGCTGGTCATCATTTTGGCCTCCATCATTGTAACTAATGCATGTATCCTAATTACTTTATGCATTATGACATTTAATCTTCAGTAATAATAATAGTAAGATACTTCCTATGGAAGTAGGAACTACCATAGAAGTGTAGACTACCACATTTTCCAGTGAGAAAAACACATGGAGAGATTAAGCACTTTGTCCTGAAGTCAAGATAATTATTAAGTGTCAAAGCTGCAATTCAAAACCAGGTGGGTATTTCTGAATTCCTTTATAGCAGTGTAGGAATTCACTGCATGGGTTTTGGATGTTAAGGATCATACACTCAACAATCTCAGTCAACTTTTGATAGGAATTTTTTATGCCTATGCAAGGTCTCATTTACTATAATATGTTTTATTTGATTCGTTTTTGATTTGTTGTTAAGAAGGGAACAGTTTCTCTGTGTTCATTTACAGTGGTCCTTTATTAACTATAGTGCCAAACTCTTTAATTTAATTATCTGGTCACAATCCTCCACCTGCCTGTCCCTTAAAATTCCTTTATCTCCATCCCTGCGTGGTGGCAGTTCCTTGTAGTCCCTGCATTTGAAGTGGGGGCTTGTGAGTTTGAGGCCACCCTGGGATCCATAGCAAGATCCTGTCTCAAAAGCAATAACAAAGAAAGTGACAGACTTTTGGGGGGGTCAACAGGATGGCTCACCAGATAAGAATGCTTGAGGAAAAGCCTAAAGACCTGAGTTTGATACCTGGAACTTAACCACATGGTGAAAAGAGAAAACCAACTCCCACAAGTTGTCCTCTGACTTCTACATGATAAACACACACACCAAAAGAAGTAAATGTAAATAAAATACAACCTTTTATGTTCAGAAAACAGGGTGTAATGTTCCATGTGTTCAATCCTCTTGTCACAATTATAGTAATACTAATTATCTCCCTGTTTTTTTTTCTATTAGAAAAGTGTTTTGTTTGCTCTTTTAGACTTTCCCTTTCAAGATTTCTTGTGTAGGTTTCTAAGGAGGAAAATGTTGTATTTCTAGGTACACATTGTTCACCTGTTAAACTGTAAATTCTCTAGACTACTGTAAACGCTTATCTTTTCCATTAACTTAAACTTTTTTTTCTTTGACCTCTACCCAGATTCCTGTTCTTTTTTGTTTTTTACATGCTTCTTGGCTCTTGCTTATTGTTAATCTAGTTGTGAATTTTGGTAGAATCCTGAAAAAAGAAGAAAATCAAAAAATAGTTTCAGTGAAAGTCTGTCTGATTTTGATATTTTTATCACTCGGAATGTGAAGTTTGAAGATTTCTGTCTCTGGGTTAAATGCTATAAGTGCTTTAGTTCTTTTATATATGTACCAAACAGATAGCTTAGCTTAAAGTTACAGTAATAAAATACAAGATGCTTATTCTACTAGAAGCTTATTAGAGTTTTTTTTTTTCCTCCAATAAACAATACCATTTGAATTTTAGGATTGGTTGTAGTACTGGTGATTTAACAGTTGAGAGATGATGGGTCAGCAGTTAAGAACACTGAATGTTCATGCAGAAGACCTGGGTTCAGATCCCAGCGCTCACATGGCAGTTAACAACTGTTCGTAACTCCAGTTCTAAGGGATCCCATGCCCTCTTCTGACCTCTGTGGGCATTGCACGACATAGATGCGCTTCTGTACACACAGGCAATACACACATACACATAAAATAAAAATAATAAATAAAATATATATTTTTTAAAGTTGAACTTATGGTTTATAGCCAAGAAAAGATAAAAATAGCTCACTTCTAGGTTCAGAAGTCGGTACTCATCAAGTTCTGGTTAATTACCGTGAAGAAGTGGCTGCTGCCAGCTTGTTCATGCATGAGGAGTGCAGTGCCCAGTGAGATGGCACTTACAGAAAGCAAGGGGTTTAGATTCCTGGAGTGGGCATTCCTGTAAGGAACAAAGGTGGGCAAGGATGAGCATTATCTTTGGAGGATTATGAAGAAACTTCTTGGGAATCTAACAAATTTGTCCATGGAAGTAAAGAAAGGAAATGAAACTATATTATCTAATACTGTATCTAGTGCTGCTGCTCAAAGTGGAAGGAAGGGATAGGATATATTTGTAATTTTCAATAATTACTTAGTGGCTAATACTTTCAGTAATAAATACTTTATTAACTGGTTTAATGCTTTTGTTCCTTCAGATAGATTCTGTTGCTGTTAACATTTCAAACATGGTACTTGAGAGTCAACCACCTCGGATTTCAAAAGCACAAAAGAGACGGGTATGAAAGTCATATCACCAAGTATATAAGCTAGTGCTGTGTGCTTAATACTGTTTTAGGTATTGTGTAAGAAGAAATTTGGAAAAATGGAGTGCTTTTCAAGGGAACTGAACTAGCCTCTGTTACGTGCTTGTCCTATTTATAGTATGCTAAGATGTTTAAATAGAATCAGTCCTGGCAATAATGCAGGGAAATAGGGTTTCTTTTCTTCATTTGTTAAAGAAGAAAATAGGTCCAAAACAATATGAAAGAGATGTTTAGTTTGCAGTTCTCGGAGGAAGTGAGGAGGAAGCAAAGGTGTTTTTTTTTTTTTTCAAACAAATGCATTATCCTAGACTTAGTTTAGAATTTTGAGTGTGTGGGGTCATGAGAGTCTGATACACAGCCCTGTTTAAAAAGTGTGACACAGAGGGATAAAGCAAGGGTTTGGACCTAGAAATAAAGTAAGACATTTAAGGGATCAAAAATTCTCAAGACAATTGTTTGTATTTATATATGATTAATTACACTAAAAGTTCAGAGAAGGGAAAGTTCATTATATTAGATGATGGGTTCGACTTTGAAGGAAAGATAATTATTCTCCTTTTTTGGTTTATTTATTTCTGTTTTATGTGTATGAGTGTTTTTTGTCTACATGTATGTAAGAGCACTATGTATACAATGCTCACAGAAGGAAGAAGAGGGCATCGGGTTCTCTGGAACTGGAACCGATTGTTATTAAGCCACCACGTGGGTGCTGGGAACTGAACCCTGGACCTCTGCAAGAGCAGCCAGTGCTCTTATCTCCTGAGCCATCTCTCCAGCTGCCAAGATAATTCTTTAGACAAGATATGCCAAACAGGAGAAATACCATGAATAAAAAAAATGTTAAAATGAAATATTGCATTAAAAACACCTATAAGAGAGATATTGAATGTTATGAATTATTGATCTTAGTGTAGTGAGAATGGAGTTAGGAAGGCGAAGCCTTTCTACTCTCAGGAGGTTTAAACCCAATCCTCGAGTCCTGAATACTATTTTACTAACTCTTCATGTTTTCTAAGATTAAATGCATATTTTAAAGCTAGCTTTACATCTTTTTTTTTTAGTAGTACATAATATTATAGAGCATGGAAGTTTAGTGTCAGACAGAACAGGTAAGTTTTCTCTTTCTTTACTGTGTTGAGGGTCAAACAGGGCACTGTACATTGCTGTGGAGTCCTAGTCCTGCACCTGAGTTACACCCCAGCCCCAGAGAAGCCTTTAATATCACTCACTCTCATGACTTTGCATTCAGTTTCATAATAGATAGGGGAACATAATACTTGTTTTATAGGATTATTATGGGTATTAAATAAAATACTGTTGCCAGAACCCTTAATACACAGCTTGGAGAACTCAAGGGTCAGCAAATGATAACATTGTTTAGTGTTAAGTGTAGTATCACATGCCTCTTAAATTAAGCCTAAGAGCATTCTCTCTTTGCATAAAAGTTAAGTTGTAAATAGTCCAATATTTATCATATTTATATAAAATTTTTATTTTTCACTAATATTTTTTGACTAATACTATGATTGTGAATTTCTTAAAATTGCTTACCTCTCATGTTCCCTTGAAGGCTACCTAATTCAACTCCCCATTTATGATAGCTCTTCTTTTTGTGATGGTCCCACAACTGTCACCTGGCGTTTAAAGATCAAAAACAGGTTTTTTGGTATGCCAGTAATAGAACAATAATTTTTTGAACTTATTAAGTGCTATATTTTATAGTAGCCTATTTCTGAAAAACGAAGATCACTTCTGTGTTTATCAAAGCTTGTTCATCCCTACTTAAACCCTTAGGTAACAGAACAAGCTGTATCTTTCTTAAGTTTTGCTACTTCCCTCCCAACTGAATTTAATACCTTTTCAACTGTACTCTGTTTTTCACTTGGCAGAGAAAATGCCCTGAAAATAGTGCCAAGTGTATTACTTTGTTCATCTAGTAGGATTCTGGAGCTGAAAACACTAATAATTCATAATAATTAAGAAAATAGGGACTGGAGAGATGGCTCAGCAGTTAAGAGCACTGGCTGTTCTTGCAGAGGACCTGGGTCCAATTGCCAGCACCCACATGGTGACTACTAGTTGTGCATAACTGCAGTTCCAGGGGCTCCGACACCTTCTTCTGACCTCTGAGGGTGTTGCAGGACATGGGTGCACTTGCATATGTATGAGCAATTCACTCAGACACATAAAATAAAAAAATAATAAATAGGCCTCCGAGGGCACTGCACATACATCAAGTACACATACATACAACCAACACAAGCACATAAACGAATCTTTTAATGTGTGTGTGTGTGTGTGTGTGTGTGTGTGTGTGTGTGTGTGTGTGTGTGTGTGTGTGTATTGCCTGCATGTAGGCAGTGCCTGTAGAGGTCAGAAGATTGGACATCAGATATCCTGGAACTGGAGTTAGGGATGGTTGTTAACTGCCATGTGGGTGCTGGGAATGGAACCTTGGTCCTCTGCAAGAGAAGCCAGTGTTCTTAAGTCCTTGAGCCGTTTGTCCAGTCCCTAATCCAGTAAAAGTTTTAAGAAAGAAAAACAGCCGAAGAATTATTGGCAGCTGATTACTGCTGGGTGAGGAAGAGCAGATCTTGAATAGAGAGACTCTAGATGGGCTGACTAAACACCACTGGATGAACTGGGGGACACCTCAGGACATTGACTTTACATAATAGGCCTTAATACAAATGACAGAATCTATGAACTCCAGTAGGGGGAACTATGGGAGGGCACCAAAGGGAAAGGGGGTATAAAGATGATTTTATGTATGAAATACATAAAAATTCAATGAAAAATTATAAAAAAGAAAAATAAATAAATAAAATTTTTAAAAGAAAATGGAACCTGAAACTGGGATGGGAACTATGTTAATTAGAACCCCTCTTTGTGCTAAAGCACCAAGGAATGAAAAGCCAGTTAGCCAATGGTGTTTGTCTTTGGCAAAGAGACAGCCCTGGAAGAAAAACATAAAACTAGTGGTAATTTATTATAAGGCTCTTAGAGAACCTTGTAGGGCACATCTCTTTAATCTGGAGAAGCATAGGAGTATTTTATTTAATTCAGGAACTTGGGACTGACAGGATGATTTAGCAGGGAAAGGTGCTTGCTGCTGAGCCTGCTGACCTGAGCTCAGTCCCTGAAACCCACATGGTAGAAGGAGAGAACTAACTCTTGCAAGTGTGCTCTGACCTTTACACCCATACTCTGGCCTGTTACCCCATCCTACCCTATCAAAAAACGTAAATAATCTTTTTAAATAAAAAGAACTAGGAAGCTCTTTGGTATTTTAGAAAGAACCCAAGGTAGAAATAGACTTGGTCAACAAAAACAAGAAATTTGAGAGGCAGAATGAGATCTAGTTCAGACTCTTTATTTTACAAATGAGAAGGGTCAGACTTAGATTATATCAGGGGCAGAAGGAAAGTTTAATATGAACCTGAGACTAGTACCATACCAACATGATGCTGTTTTAACAGAGTATTTGTGAGTCCCGTGCTCTTTGTTATCTTCTTTGTATTTCTTCATTGGACCTTATTGGGGCCATTCTATCTTTAGCACTGTGGTAGAAAAGAAAGTGCCTAGTGTTGGAAACTATATCACAGAGAAAATAATCCAATGAATTTCCCACCTGATGTGCTGAAAGCAAATTCAGTTGCCTTGTAATTCTGAGACAGATAATTAAGGAAGAAAATGAAATGATTGGAATTCGTATTTTAGAGACTTACAGGGCTTTGAAGATAGAATGAAGTTTCATTCTGTCAGAAAAAAGTATATGACATGATTAACTCCAGCTCCCATCTGCTCCGACTTTTATTCTGATTCAGGTGCCTGGATAGAAGGAGCTCTGTGTTGTCCCTGGTCCCTGCTCTGCTCTAACCAGCTGTATGGCCTTTGGAAATCTTTCTGCGTGCTGTTTCCTCAGAAGAGGAAAATGAGGGGTTTTGGATTAGATGATGTCAAAGGTGCTTATTCTTCCTCTCCCCTCTGAAATTGTTATAATCTTTTATAAAGTAACAGTGCCATCTTGTGTTTTAAGGTTTTATATCCTAGATCCACATTACACATACACAGTGATAGAAATTTGTTCTTGTTACTTCTTAAAGCTGGAAAGAAAGTCTTAAATAGGTTTATGTTTCATTGGTGAGATATTACAGCTTTTGAGGTGAACGCTTGAAGTTATCCCACATGGCACACAGTGGGCAGCAGTACAAGTATGTGGCGGGAAGTGTGTTGGAATTGGCCTTCATGTTTGCTTTTGACCCAGGGGGATGAAGAGTTAGGGTGTGGAAGTCTTTGGTTCCTATGGTTTACTAATTCCTTTTCTGTATTTCCTACTCTCGGCAAGGTTTGTAGAATTTAGTTTTTTTTCTTTTAAGTTAAAAGACAGTTTCCCTCCAAGTGTACAAATATCCCATAGTAGAGATTTAGAAAGTCATAAAGGCAGAAAGACACCTTCCTTGAAATAAAAATCTACCATCCATGAAAAAAGAATTCCAAACCCTTTCTGTGTATCTTTGCAATTTTACTGTATTAGTGTGGACTATATGTATTAATGACAGTTGTGTCTCTCCAGCCCTCACTCTCATCTCTTGACACTTGTCTCTGGTAAGCTTGCTCTGTGAGCTGTTTTTAGCTGTGAGTATGGTGCCCTCCTTTGCAATTCTTAGAGTCAAATTTTTGATCCTCCCGTGTCGACCTCTCAAGTGGTGGTGGAATTATAGGCGTGTGCCACTCTACCTGACTGCAAGAAGGGCTTTTCTATGTTCCACTATGGAGCTAGGTGCTGGGAACACAGGGACCAGGTGAATAAAGTACTTTTCTCTTAAAAGTTAGAGTGTAGGAAATTCTACAAATATGAGAAGATCAGTATCATAATGCTTGTAGGAGAAGAGAGAGAAATGGCCAAAGGTTTTTGAGACTTTACTGTCTCCATTCTCTTAAAAATGAGAATTAATTCTAAATATAAATTAACTTTCCGATGTTCTTATCTTAGGAAAAGAAAGCTGCGCTGGAGAAGGAGCGGGAGGAAAGGATAGCTGAGGCTGAAACTGAGAACTTGTCTGGAGCCAGATGTAGAGAAGCTGAAAAACTCGCACAAATATTGGCGGCCAGAGAGTTGGAAATTAAACAGATTCCATCTGACGGCCACTGTATGTACCGAGCCCTTGAGGATCAGCTGAGAGATCAGGACTGTGCTCTGACTGTGCCTGCCCTACGAAAGCAGACGGCTGACTACATGCAGAGCCACGCAGAAGACTTCCTGCCATTTTTAACAAACCCCAGTACAGGAGATATGTATACTCCGGGTAATTTATTCTTCTTCAGACACTTGGCTAGTGGTTCTGGTTGTTTCTCAGTAAAGAACTTCCTGGGTACAACATGTAAGAAGAATCTTCTGAGTCCATATGAAGAAAAAAGATCACAAAGTTTAGGCAAAATTTTCTATAGTTGAATAGAAACAGATATAGTTTATTAATATCTTTTAAGTACTTAACCACTTTGTAGTTAAAATATATTAATTTCTTTACTTGAATAATTAATTAGATGAAAATAGGAGTAGGATTAGTCACTTTTTGATTAATCAATGAAAAGACATGTTAAGTTCATATTTAAAGTGTAGAGGGAGTTTTGAGCAATCTCTTAAGTATGCCTGTACTAGGCTTCAAGATGCTGAGCACTCAATTACTATGAAAACTAACATGTTCTTTTATTTCAGACTTTGGGACATATAATGTTACTGTCAATAAGCTGTAGTTAGGCATGTAATTACCCAAGTAAAATTTGATTTTAACTCCTCCCCCCCAAAGTAAGCAACCATCTGCCCTATTCTCTATAGTAATTTTGATATTAAGATAAAAATTTAATAATGAAGTTAAAAATATGTACAACTTGCAAATGAGGGTAAGACCAAGTCAGAATCTGAAAGGATTTGCAGAGGACCTGGGTTCAGACCCAGCACCCACATAGTGACTTAACGGTCTATAACCCCAATTCTAGGGATCTGGCATCCTTTTCTGGCCGCCATGCACATTGCATGTACACGATATATCTGTATACATGCAGGCAAAACAGTCATACACATAACATTTTAAAAGAAAGAATAGAAAGGAAAATTTGTGTTTAAGGAAGAGAGCAGGTCTGGCAGTATCCACTGTGATTCAGTCTGTGGCCAGGAGGGTTGGGGAAGGATGGCTCAGACTCAGTCTTTTAATGGAGCCCGCCCTCCATGGGAGATGATTCGGCATGGTACAGAATGATAGAATGAGCGCTGGCATTGGGTTTGTTCTTTGTGGTAAGTGAGGCATGTGCCAAGTACCTGTGGATAGATCTCAAGTGTTAGCAGATGTATCATTTCCTAAAGTTTGTGTTACCAACTCTGCTAGTAAGAGCGCATTTAATTCATTACTGAGAGTCAAAAAGACAAAAGATATAATTAATTTTCTTTATCTATTGAATCAGTAATTATTGAAGGCCATGATGTTATAAAACACACTTCTAGGCACTGTTTTGAACACCAAGGATCTAGTAGTGAAAGAGACTAAAGCTGGGCATATTTTTCTTCTGGTTCTGGTAGCTTCTCTTCCCTTCTCTGGACAGAAAGGGTTTTCAGCCCGTTTTTACATGCTGTGTTTAAAGGTGTATGAACAAAATTAATCTGTTGTAATCTTGGAGATTAGGGCTTTTACTGTGTTGGGCCTTATTCAGGAAAATCTCTTTGGCTAAAACTTACAATTCACATAATGTTGGGACTTCTAAAATAACAAGTAGAGGAACTATTTCTTGCTACCTCTGGAAAAGCAGATTGAATTCATTTGTACTTTTACCCTCATTTCTCATAAGGTCTTTCAGTAAGTCTAAGTATATAGAAGCTATATATTTTAGTCTTTCATGATATTTTGGATGTAGGTTTTGGCTATATAAAATATGTCAGGATAATGAATATGTTGGCACTTGAGAGACTGTATTAGATGATGGGTGAAGTAAGCTTATTACATAGGTCTCTGGGTCTCAGGCTGCAGGAGAGAAGCAGAAGTGTTTTGCTGTTAGACGGGAAGATGGTAGACAGTTGGGATGAATTCAGTGTGCATCTGTGAAGTATATTGAGTTGTAAATGGAGGTGATAAAGAAGGGAGGTATTCATGGTCTGGACGTTCTTACAAGGAATTGTGGGACCTACAAAAGGGATTGGGTAACAAGAGTTACGAAAATTATTATGATCTGTTTTCTGCAGAAGAGTTTGGGAAGTACTGTGAGGATATTGTAAACACAGCTGCGTGGGGAGGTCAGCTTGAGGTAAGTTTGTCATTGTTCTTGGTGATTGTTTTGTTATCTCTGAATCCTATCTGTAGTTTTCACACACTTTCCTGTTAAGCCCAGTTTTTCTTTGAAAATGCCCTTTTCTTCATCTACTTGACATTTCTCTGGTGACAAAGAAACAGTGAACTAAACATTCTCGTCTTTTGCTTGGAGAGTGCACCTTGAGTAAGCGCAGCACAATTGCGGTTTAGATAGCTCAGCTCAGGTCTGTTTGTTGTAGAAGCTGGCGTTGCATCTGTCTGATTTTGCATTTGCCGTGCATGCTTCTGTTGCTCATCTTTTTGATTTTCTGTACTTACAAAAATGAAGACTTGCTTGGTGTCTTGGTGTGCACCTGTAATCCAAGCACTTTGGAAGCCGAGGCAGGATAACTTTGATGTTAGCCTGGGTTTGCATAGTGACACCCTACTTCAAAAAATAAAATTCATATATGTATAATATATATAATATATAATCTTATATATAAAAAGTAGTTCATGAAACTAAATTTTTACCGTAGTAGCTCAGCTGATAAAAATCACTTTTGGAACAGTAACTTCTCCTTTACATCAGAAATAGAAAATGAGCCAGTGTTGGTGGTACGCTTACAATGTTAGCACCAGGGAAACTCAGGCTGGACGATCAAGACTTGAGGCCAGGCGAGCATGGTGAAGCATGTCTTTAATTCCAGCCCTTGGAAGGAAGTGACAGGCAGATCTTAGTAAGTTAGATTAAGACCAGTCTAGTCTACCTAGCAAGTTCCAGGCCAGCAGGGGCTATATATATAGGGAGATCCTCTCTTAATTCCCCCTACCCCCCCAAAATTGAGACCAGCTTGAGCTGCGTGCTATGTAAAATGAAATTTTTATTTTTATATGAAATTACAGGCCAAATCTTATCACACAATACATCTATTAAATTTTCTGTTGAGTTCCAAATTGACAGTGACATACTTTAAATGATTTAAGTAATCGATGCGTTAGCGTTAATATATAATAAAACAATATATTCAGACATATGTAGGGAGATGAGATAACTTTTTAGTTTTAATTTAAAATTTTTCACTATCAACCTCATTTAACTACAACAAAACACTTAATTGGGCCTGATAGTGATGAGCACTCTGAGGTGGTAGGGAAGAGGAGAGAAGACAAGTCCTGAGTTCAAGTTCTGGCTTTTCTGTGTTTTGTGGTAACCTTGGAGTGAGTCATCCAGCTTCTTGACCTGTGGTTTTAGAATTATTGAATGAGGATAATAAGACCGTTACATGTAGTCAGTAGCATCTGTGAGCATTAAATAAGGCAGGTAGCATAGGCATAAGAGTTCATAAACTAAAATGATAGGTACACGACTCTGGTAGTACTAGTGTTATATAAAGTGATCAGTCACCTTGAAGTCTCTGGAAATGTCTCTAGGAACTGCTGTTTGAAGATGTACCATTAATGTTCCTCCATATTTTATTACAATGTTGTAATTGTCCTCTCCAGCAGAGGGAACTGTGCCCATTAGTTTTGTGTGTCTCTCCTGACTCAGGAACTCTGGAAATGTTCCTGCTAGCATTGTGACATTAGGAATAAAGCTGCCTGAGCTTTCTTTCTTCTAAGGTTTACAAATTAATATGCATATCAGAGACCTAATTAATTCTAAGTTGAGAAAAAAAATTAAGTCTTTTGAAGGGCATTTGCTCATTCATTGCTTATGAATTTATTTGAAGTAAAACTTGTTTTCTCAATGGAACACATTGATACTATCAAAGCCAAAGCCAAAAGAAATTCTTTACTATATGACTGTGTGTGTGTGTGTGTGTGTGTTCATTCATGTACATGCCATAGTGCATGTATGGAGATCAGAGGACACCTTGCAGGAGTTGATTTTCTCCTTTCACTGTCTGGGTCACAGGCATCAAACTCAGGTTGTCAGGCTTGGTGGCCAGTATCTTGCTGGCCCTATGGTATGATTTTGGAAGAGTTTTATATGCAGAGGTTGATTTGCACCCTCCATCTTTGAAAGATTTTTAAAAAAATTTTTTAGATATAAGAAAAATGTGTTCCAGAGGAACATTCATCAAAGTAGAGTATTTTTTTTTTTTCATGCAGTGCAGAATCCTTTCCATATTCCTAAAGTGATTTTTAACTTTCAAAACCTAAAGGACCTGTGTTCTTGATGGAATGTACTTGTCATGGGGCAGGTGCACATGAACCTTGGACTTGAGTCAGCTTCCTCACTTCAGCTTAGATCATTTAATTTTCTAATGTTTGACTTACTAAGTCTTCTAACTTCCTCCTGCCTCAGATTCTAGGTGTTTAAAATAACACTAATGAGAATGTGGTGGCTCAGATCTGTAACACTAGCAATTGGGAGGCAGAGGCGAGAGTGTCTCTGTGTTTGAGGCCAGCCTGGTCTATATAGCGAGTTCTCAGCCAGCTGGGCCACAGAGTGAAGCCTTGTGTCAAAACAGCAACAAGCACGACCAAACAATTGGCAGGGTCCATTCCATGAAAAATTGGGAGGACTGATGGAATTAATATGCATACAGTATAGAGGTACTTTCAGGCCTTGGCCACAGTATGTCAGCAAAATGTTACCATGACTTTCATTGATGGCTACTCATTAGGTTTTAAGCTCTTAAGTTTTTATGTTGTGTTATAAAATTTAAGTTGTATAGCATGTTAATTACACAGAAATTCTGCAACAGGTGAGAATAATGCACATACATATCTCACCCTGTTCTTGCCTTAAAATTACAGAACAGTAATTCTCAATACTAGCTGAACATTAAAATCATCTGAAAAGATTTTAAAAGTAAACTTCACACTTTACCATATTCTGCTTTTTCTCTGTCAGTTGGTCTTGATTTGGTCTTCTGCTTAAGCACTCGTATTTAAAAAATTTTTATTACAGATTCAAATGTATTCAGGGCCAGAGACTAGTATCATAAACACAGCCTATTCATCATCCACTTCATAAACTTTGAAGTTAGTACTTTTATAAAGCCGTTGTGTGGCCAGGGCTTGAAAACCTTCTGCCTTTGATGTTATTATGTTATATTTATTTATTTATTCAGCAAATATTTTACTGTCCAGTCCACCAAGTTGTTGGTACATTTATAAGCAGCACATCTTTGCTCTGACCGGTCTCCATGTTCATGTGTGTGTGCTTTAGGCCTTTAAGATTTGAATACAATTTGCACTTTTCTTGTCCTTGCTAATTCATCTGTTTTTCCTATAGCTAAGAGCTCTGTCTCACATTTTACAAACACCAATAGAGATACTGCAGGCAGATTCTCCGCCTATTATAGTTGGTGAAGAGTATCCAAAAAATCCATTAATACTCGTGTAAGTATCAAGAAATCTTAACTATTTTCTTTTTTATATTTAAGACAAAAAAGGGATATGAAAATATTTTAGGGTTGTATATGCTGACTAATGAAAAAGCTATTTTCAGCTGAATTCTTTTCATGTTGAAAACAATTTATAGAACTAGAAAACATCAGAGTATATGATTTAGATAATTATATAAACTTCTAGTGATCTAATTTTTTTGTGTATGTTTCAGTTAAGAATTAAGTCGTTTCTTTTTAGGGGGAGAGGGGGAGGAAAGGGTTTATTTGGCTTACATCTCCTGGGTCACAGTTCATCACTTAGGGAGCCCAAAGTAAGAACTCAGGCCGGAACCTGGAGGCTGGAATCAAGTCATTTCAAAGGCTACAAAGTTTTAAGACTAGTTTGTATATTGCTTTGTTTTTTTTGACATTAATAGAGCTTAAAGTTTCTGCTTGTGTAAAAGGTGAAAAATATTCACATAGCCTGTTTTTTCCTGAGAGAATTTTTCCTTCATAATGTGAAAGTATTTTTCATGATTGAGAATTGGCATCTGAAGTTTTTTTTAAAATTAATTAATTAATTATTTTTAGTGTTTATTAGCTATCCTCACTAAGGTAGTCATTAATAGCTTGAGTTTAGGTGAAAATTTGAGTGCACTGAGCCCTTAGTGCCTCAGCTTTGTGTTTCTCCTCCTGGGATCGAACTGCTTGCTGGCTGCCAATGCTTGTCAAGTGCTGTTGAACTCCTAATTAACATGCTCATGTAGGCATTGAATGACTGGACTGAGACATTCAGAGTCTTTTTCTTATATATCCATATGTAATAATAGTTTATATATAGTAAATATCTCATCAAAATGGCTCATTTTTTTCCTTTTTTTTCCATTTCAGATACATGAGACATGCATATGGCTTAGGAGAACATTATAATTCTGTTACACGGTTGGTGAACTCAGCTACTGAAAATTGCAGCTAGTTTACAAAATGTTACACAATTGTTTTATTCTGTGTGCCAATCTGCATATTCTTACCAAGTGCTAGATTATTCTGAATGCTACTGAAAAACACAACTACCTTAAGTCAGTTTTGTGAATAAGCTTACTAGCAAGCTTTTTAGAAATACATCAGGGATAAACTTTGAGATTTGCCCTCTTAGTGCTATTTTTAGAACTTCTAAATCCCTTGTGGAGAACATTATTCATAGGTGAAGATGATGCCTAATTCTCTGGCTATTTTATTTATGTAATATTCTGGACATTCTGTTTTGGAATAAATTTTGTTTTCAATTTTAGCCCCACAACTTAAAGCTCCTGAGGTAATCAGTGAGTGTAATTTTTCTTAAAGTGCAATGACTCAGTCTCTTTGTCATTGCATTAATGTAGTACAGTGATAACAAATTTAATTGATGTTTATAAAATGAGCATGACTGTAGTAATTTTGGTATTACTGGGTTAAGTGGGGTGAAGCTTTTTACATAGCACATCAGAGTGCGGTTAAGAAGCTTCTACAGTTAAAAGTTTTTGAATTACTTATTCAGATGAGAATCAATTAAATTCAAAGAATTGAGACAGAATAGGTAAATGGGTAATTGTGTCATAGGTAAATTGTGTCAGTTCTATAAACCTTTTGCAAATTAGAAATTTGCCTTTTATGTGTGTTACTTATAAAAGACTCGGTAGATTTCTGTCCTCGTAATTCCTGTGTTGTTCCTCTGTTTCTTCAACTTCAGACTGGAGTTAGCTATCACATCGTGGTTCTCTTCACAGCTGTGGATTTTTATATTTTCCAGCATTCTCTCCAGCACTACTCAGTGTCTTTCTTTCTCTGTAGCCTTTCTCATTGAGAAACAGCTCCTGGCCTCTCATTACTCACCCTGTGCAAGGTGATGCTTTGTTGTACAACAGGGCCACAGCCCCATCCTCTTCAGATTCTTCCACCTTTTCCAGTTTGTCATTACAAGATCTCTACTTTCGTTCACTTTCTAGGATTCAAAAGAACAACTTAGCTACATGTTATGTATCATATCTTGTATAGATAGGTAAAGTTGAAAGCCACTCTTTGAAAGCTATATGGTAAAATCAGAGTAGTTTTCTTTGGAATGACTTAACATTTCTCAGATTCAGATCCCTCTTGACAGTATTCTTTGTAAGAGGATAGCACCCATATACAAAGAAGGGTCCGCTATGTACAAAGTATATGTCTGCTAATTTGTTGTATAAAAAATACCATGGGATGGGAATGTAGCTCTGGTAGAGTGCTTGCCTAACATGCATGAGGCTCTAGGTTCAATTTCCAACACCAGAAACAAACAGCAATAAGAACAACAAACTATTAAAATGAGACCTTTTTGGTTTGATCTGTTTTTCCTAAGTTAGAAATATAACTAGTAAGGTTGAACATCAAGTTTATAGCATTTGGATCTTTTGATCCATGTGTACTGTTTATGAACAAATAATGAGATTATAATATTAAAAGTAGAGGCTGTCTCACGTGCCCAGCAGGTAACAGCATGGCAAGCTGGTAAGAACTGTGGTCTGTAGAGCAGTCAGCACTTCCTGAGCTTACTCTGGGTCAGCTGCCCAGAACCCACTTTGCCTGCCAAACAATATAGTCTGAAGGTTGCCTGTTTCATAACCTTTGATCTGGGTTTATGGAGGGGTGGGGTTTCCAAAATTCATAAAAGAATGAAATTGTAAAAACAACAAATACTTTGAGTTCATTTTGAAGTACTCAGTTAAACTTTCAAGTTAAAATATCAGCATTGAGTAACAAAATATTATGGAACTTAGTTATTGCAAATTCCATTTGCATTAAAAGTATTATTCTAAAATAACTAGTGTTTTGTTGTTTTGACACAGAAGACACAAAGAAGAATTTCAATGTCTTTAATTATGCATTTGTGTTTTTTGTATATGTTTAATTTTAAAATGGCCAGTATATTTATGAAAAAAAAAGTATGGCCAGCTTCCACCATTTAGCTAAAATTTAAAAAGTCTTTAAAAAATTATGGATGTTAATTTAAAAACAACATGTGCAAATTGAGTTTGCTGTATAATGATGATTCTGGTGGAAATGACGTAAGTTTGTTTAAGCCTAACTTGGAAAAGTATATGTCAAAGTTCTGGAATATATGTTTAGCCAAGAATTTATCTTAATATGTTTACAACTTGTATAAAGTACAAAGAAAAGAATGTGTAACTATAATGAGCAAGATAGCTTTGCTTATATTATGTGATGTTTGCCAGAAGAATAAATGATAACCAGCTAAATCAACATTTGTATGGTCAAATTGTCATTCTTTTAACAATTTTAGAATTTAGAAATAGAGCTCATTTTGCTTTACAATTTTATCTAGCTTTTGTTTTCACATATTGTGAACAGTGCAGTCACAGATTCTTGGGTTTAAGGGACTTTGAATAAATGCCTGAGCATAGACTGATGCCCAGAGTAAAGACAGATAATAAAGTAATGACCAGTTAAGACATGGCTTGCAGGAGTGAGGTGGAAGCTTAGGACCACTTTGAATAATGGAGGTTTATTTTGGATGAATAAATTCTAAAAACACTGTAAGATTCACGAATGCTACAAAAAAAAAAATATACATTTGTTTGTAGGAATGGGAATCGCTAAGAAGCATGTTTGTGGAAATTGATGTCTGTACACAGTTGTTAGTGTCTGACTGATTAGGGGAAAGTACAGATTACTTGACTGAGAATGTAATTGTTGGTTTCATAGCATTTTTAATTTTTTTCAAACAGATGTGGGTAGGTTTTCTCCATTTATTCATCTCTCATTAAGTCTTATTTAAAATAGTCTTTCTCCATCTTTAAACTGGTGGTACCAGTTCTTGACTTGAATCCACCATTGTTCTGACCTCATTGAGCATCCTGAAACTCCATTCAGAGATGACTACTTTACCTGCTTCACCTCTCACCAGCTCTCCTCAGCTTAAATGTGCCTACTTTTAGGCACATGTTCCCAGACCCTCAAACTCAGACTAGATTAATGTATGATTCTTCCTAGTACCTGCATACTTAGAATTAATTATTTATATTTGATTGTTTTCCCCTAGTTTAAATGCTTTGAAACATTTTGTTAACTAGTATTAAAATACTTAACATAGTAGGTGCTTAATATTTGCCAATATCATTTGAGAGAACAGGATCTGACTAGAAAGTTGCCATTAAGCTGCAGCAGAGAGGTAATATACCTGCTCAGAAAAAGAGCACCTTCTAATTAACTTAGTTCTTTTTGTCAGTTGAAAGAGGGAAAGAAACCTAAGAGCATTTTTTTCTTCTTTAGACATGAGACTCATTTCTAGGATAGCTGATTATATGTGGGTAAATTTTCCATAGTCCTGAAGACCCTGTCTTCCAAGTTTTCAGATAAAGGAGCCTCAACCTGTAGTGTACAGCCATTACTTTATCAACTAAGATCGTATCTGGTTTTAAAATTTTTTAAGTTGATTTTTATTTTATGTGTGCTGAGTGCTTTGCCTGCATTTATGTAAGTGCAGCTGTGCATGCAGTGCTTGCAGAGGCCAGAAGAGGGCATTGGATCCCCTAGAACTGGAGTTAGGGATGGGCCTGTAGGTGCTGGGGAACTGAACCCAGGTCAGGTTAAGAGCCAGTGCTCTTAACCTCTGAGCCATCTGTCTAGCCCTGATAATGTCTGATTTTAACAATTCTCCAAAATATATGGATTCTGTAAGTGTATAGATCAAAAAATACTAAAAGCTTTATTAATAGATTGACCATAAAAGAGGGTTATAGGGGCCAGTGAGATAAGATGGCTCAGTGGGTGAAGGCACTTGCTGACAAGACCTGAGTTTGATCCCTGGATCCCTCATGATGGAAGGGAACAACCAACAGCCACTGGTTGCCCTGTGAGCACACAGTTTCCATGGGACACTCACACAAAGTTTATAGTTGTATTCAGGGTAGTTAGAATGGCTAGTATGACTTACTGAAATGCATCTGTCCCTTGATAGAAAGCTCCTGAGTTATTAATTCAATGAATTAGGGTTACTTATAATCTATCTCCTGCTATTTCTTTTGTATATCACCCTTGTTTATAATTTCAACCAATATAGTATCAACATGGGGATATCAACATTGTAATGTGTTGTGAGAAAAATAATGATCTCATGTTGAAAATTGTTTTTGAATCTCATGTTCTTCACACATACCCACTCCTTGATCCCAGCCAGAAATTGGAAAGGCTTTATATACAGGTCAGTTTCTCAGCAGTGACCTGCTGGTGTTGAGGGGGTTCTTCTGTACATCATAAGATGTTTAGGAGCATTGGTAGTCTCTAGGCACTAAACACTAATATCACTCTTTCTTGTTGTAAGAACAAAAAGTATCTCCTTGGAGGCAAAATAGCTCCATGCACAGAGCCACATACTGGATTATAAATGCCACCGTTAGTAAAGCTGCAGAGTCTAAGGGAAAACTAGAACAGAAATTGAACACATTAAACAGTTCTTTGGTTTTCATGACTCTGGTGGCTCAGTGGGCCTTAAATTTTCTTCCTTTTCATGCCTTTGTTTGCTTAAATGTGTTTGGCTTTTGAGGTCACTTATAGTAGCATTCAGTATAGACCAGATTATACTGTGTGACGAATGAAAAATCTTGGGGTCTTTTACCAACATAGAAGCATTTCTTATCCGTGTTCCAGTCTACTGAGGGCTGTATTCCATGTTATTGTACTATAGGACACAAGTCATTGGGGTTGTCACCTTTATAAACTGTGTCTGAAGAGAGCATTCAGTGGATCTTATTCCAGCAAATCAATGATGTAGTTTAGAAGAAAGACATCTCATTTCTGTTCACTGGCTGGAATTAATCACATGACCTCAGGCAAAGACAAAAGGGTACAAAAGAGCAGTCTTAGATGTGTACTGAAGGCAGGCAGGGAGCTGGAATATTTAGGGAACATTATTTAGCTTTGTCACAGACAAAATAGTATTATTTGGGATCAGACTTTCAGTCTTCACTAACCTAGTTTTTTATCACCTCTAGTTGGCTTGCTGTAAATAAGCAGTAATCTGTCCCTTGTAGAACTGGGTACTTACTTTTCCCATGACTACAGCAGAATACCCAATAAAAATGATATAAAGAAAGACTTTTTTATTTGGCTCACAGTTTCAGGGTTTAGTCCATCCTGGCAGGAAAGGCATGGTGGCAGAAAACAGGCTGCTGGTCACATTGCTCCACAGCCAGGACGTGGAAAGATGAGTGCTGGTGCTTGGCTTGCTTGCTGCTTTGATTCAGTGCAAGACCCTAGCCCATGGAATGGAGCTGCCCACAGTTAAGGTGCGTCTTCCTACCTCAGTTAATTCAGTGTAGAAATTCCCTCAGACATTCTTACAAGTTTGTTTTCTAGATGATTCTAGATCCTGCCATATTGACAATATTAGCCATCACATGAACTGCAAAGAAAATTTAGGTGGAGCTGAAGAGATGGCTCAGTAGTTAAGAACACATGCTCTACCAGAGGACCTGAGTTCCATTCCCAGCACCCATGTCACTTAGCTCAGAACCACCTGTCACTCCAGCTCTAGAGGATCCAGCATCTTCTTGTCTCTGCAGGCAACTAGACTCACATGCACCTACCCCCCCCCCGCATATGTGCATATGCACAAACTTTAAAAAACAGATTTTAAAGTTTTCCTGGGAAACTCTCCTAACTTTAAAAAAAGGAAATTTTTAGTAACACACATAGAATCTTACCATATTCTATGTAATGTATGTTATTTATGAGAATGGTTATTTTATGTGTGGTTTTTGGGGTTTTTTTTTTTGTTGTTATTTTGTTTTGTTTTGTTGTGATCATTGGGAAGGGAGGCAGAACCGTAATAAGATAATTTGGAAAAAGCAGACACTCAAAGTAGTAGAAAACGGGACTTTGAGATGCTAGGAAGAGGGAAGGCATCACTGTTGCCCTTGGTCATCAGGGCATATGAATCTTAAGTGGTGTGTAGATTGTGAGGCCAAGGAAGTTACATAATGTAAAAGTTCTCTTAGCATTCCTGTTTCCTATCTAATGTCTCAAAATGTCTTGGATTTTGTTCAGAAGTCTTGATTGATTTGGAGAGGATATCAGATTTGATTATAATACTCATGTTAATGAGGTCTTGAACTCTTACTGTTTTGAACCAAGTAGTATGAGTTGGGGAAACACATTTCCTAAGTTGATAAAGAATATTCAAGTGCTGTTTAGAGATAGTGTATGTGGTAATAATTTACAAAGCTTCTTTTCATTATTGCTCAATGACACAATTACACACTGAACCATTTAACCTTGTAGCTTTGTGTGTGTGTGTCTGCTCACTACAGTCAGGGTATAATGTCTGCTACACCACTGACACTGTTTCTAAAAACAGTGTCAGGGCTTCTTGTCCTTCCCTTAGTGGAACTTGGTGCTTTGAAACTTGTAGGCCACTTCTCTTCAGAGTTTTCTGTCCCTAGTTGCTCTTTGCTGGTTCTTCTTCCTGGACTCTCCCTGTTCTGGTCTCAGCCTTTTCCTCTGGTTCTTTTCAGGGTATTATCCTTCATCCTCTTTCTCATACTACTTCAGACCTTCCAAGCTTGGTGTGCTGTATGTGGCTCAGTTATGTTTCGATAGTCCCGTGTAGCAATTGAAGTTTTTTAAAAATAAGAAATAGTCGGTAATATTTAAGAATAAGGAGATTTTACTTTCAAAAAATTCTTGTTTCCATCTTTTCAAAAAGAAGTCAGAAGAGTTGTTGACAGAGTCAGGGTTTGCTTCGGGCAGCACTGAGCAGGAGCCTGTAGCAGCTGTTGGCCTAGCAGGACATGGAGGGTTCCTGTGCTGAGTCTGTCAATTTCTGTTTCTTACCCCAGTCAAGCATGGCCAGTGTCCAAGCCACAATCTTGGCATTATCTTGTACCATTCCCTCTTAAGTTCCTATTTTGTTTATTCATCCTTAATTAAGATATTTAGCAATTTATTGGTCTTGGTTTTATCTCAGTGCCCTATTTTCTGTTCTTTTTTTTTGCTTGTTTTTTAATTGGCTGTTTTCCTTCTGATTTCTGTGTGTTTTAGTATTTGGTAGAAACTGTGTGTCTGTAATAGATTTTTGAGCAGTTCATCTAAAGAATGATAATTAAATACTTCATAATCTGGTCCCATAGGTAAAACAACAGAAGTTAGTATAAGATGATAAATTTTTTTTCAAGAGACTTCAATTTAAGAAAATTTGTCTAAAGTTTCTATTATCAGGAGCATTTAAAATATCTTTTATTTATGG